GTAATTTGTTCACCTCTATTCCCAACCAACTTTTTGCGGTGAACACGCTTAAAAAAATACAAGGAAAAATATATGCCCTAAAATATTTTACAGGCATCTAGAGGCGTCTTTCACCGAATTTTTAAGACAAATAAGAGAATTGTACGTCAAAGGATGGAATTTATAGAATTTTTTCCGTAAGAACTTAAAAAGTGACAACTATTTTTAAATCCCATTTTACATAAATATCTGACACATTCGTAAAAATGTGCCTTTCAATTTGGTTAGCAGTAGGCGCCGAACATAGACAAATTATATTTTTAAGGGGTTAATATGCCTTAAAAAAAATCCCCACCACAATTTTAAGGCGACGCCACTGTTATCTTTAAAAAGCCTACTGTGTAAAATCACGACAAACTCGTTACGTAAGAGTGACTCTAAAATACTTGTTACTTTTCCCATTCTTACGGAAAAAATTCTATAAATTTCATTTTTCGAAGTACAATAGTGGGATTTATCTCAAAAATTCGGGAAAAGACGCCTCTAGATGACTGTCAAATATTTTAGGGCACATATTTTTCCTTGTATTTTTTTAAGCCTGTTCACCGCATCAAGTTGGTTGTGAATAGAGGTGAACAAATTACTTCAATGGCTCATAGGCTTTTATTAACTCAAATAATGATGGAACCTTAAATGCAATTATGTAGAAGGGCATCTAAGCAATTTTTTGGCATAGGTTTTATTACAACTGAGCACAGACCCTCGAAGATATCTTAAATGAAAATATAAAATGTTGCTACTTTTTTCAAACCGCGATTGCACAAATACCACCCGTTAAACTCGAAAACTAAGTATGCAGATATGGTTATATCCGTCTATATTAACACAATTTAATGCCCATAGGGCTGCACCAAAAACACTGTTGGCCTGTGTAATTCTTTCAAGAAATACTTCTAAAATTTCTTTATATTTTAATTGTAAAAATACGTTGCCGTCATTTAAATAAACATTTTTTTTTATATTTGAGTTATATTATACTAGTACTTTGAAATCAAACATTAATAGGATAAATCAGTTTTAAGGTTAAAGGCATCTCGTCCTTGGGTTTCTTCTCAATGTATCTGTGCTACATTTAAACGGCTCGTATATTTTGGTTAAAATTATATTTATGATCTTAAATATATTTTTAATAATTTTAATTTGCCCCTTAACTATTGTCACAGTTCATCATCATTACTTGCTGTCGGCCGCCCACTGTTTTCTTGGCCCGGAGACGAACAGCGCTGCCAAGCTGCGGGTGGTGGTGGGTGAGCATGATTTGGCCAGCTCCTTCGAGACGTTCGCCACCCGTCGCTACGACCTGGATACCCTGATCCTGCACGAGGACTTTAGCCAGACGAGCGGACTGCCGAGGAGTGATATCGCTCTGCTGAGGACGCGAACGGCGATCGTGTGGAGCCGGCATGTGGGTCCTGCCTGTCTGCCATTGCAACCGGCGGAGGATGGTAGGAAACTACCGCTGGCGGGTCACCAGGTGGTTGCCGCCGGATGGGGCACAACATCTTACGGCGGTCCACAGACCCAACTCCTGCTGAAGGCCACACTGGATGTGATCGACGGCCAGCGGTGCAGGCAGACTTTGGCATCCTCCGGTGGAGTACCTGCCCACACCTTCTGCACCTATACGCCCGGGCGGGACACCTGCCAATACGATTCGGGCGGAGCTCTGTACGAGCGGATCAACGGCCGGCTGGTGGCCGTGGGCATCGTCAGTTTTGGCCAGGGCTGCGCCACCCAGCAGCCATCGGTCAATACTCGCGTCGCCTCCTTTATCAAGTGGATCCGGACCAAGAGCCCCGAAGTGGCCTATTGTCCTGGCAGAGTATGAGACCAGCAACTACTCTGATTTATGTAGTAATTGTAAGGCAAAGAAAGTTTTCTAAAGATAATGAAAATCGCTTTTGATTAATGGGTAATCACGGGGTTGTAAAAGGTAATATCGCGTGAAGAGATCTTGGAAGCAGTGCTGCCAGCAGTCAACAACTTAAGCTTCTCTGATCATATTGGCATTATAGTTATAAAAGCCAAAGGAATTTGAGGAGCCCTATACCACGAAACACTTATACATTTCCTTGGTTCGTTCAATTCTTAATTGTGTTTGGTCACCTCAGTACACTAAATATCATGACCTTATCGAATCGGTACAGAAACAGTTCCTTTTAGGATTTTTACAATTTCGTTTGTTTAAATAAAATTTACACTGAAAATGAAAAACCCGAGATTTATTTTTGTCACATCGCGACGTGAAGTCTGAGATTGGAATTTTTTTGTGGGAGAATTGCATTTTCTTTATTAAATTTCTAATTGGGGCCTTTAAATGAAGTTAGCGACTGAAATGGATCACAGTATAAATATTCATCGATAAAATGAGATCTGATAGATATTTTTATTCATTTTGAATTTTCTTTATTTGAAATCCAAATGTTGACCCGGATGTAAATTGGTATGGATACTTAAAAGTTTCCATTTCACTTGCAAAATCTGATATTCCGCAATATTTTTCTCCTTGATATAATTGGTATGGAATATTAAAAATTTCCGTTTTACTCACAAATAGGATTTTTCAGGATCTATCCTACGTAGTAGGATTTTTAACAATTTTTATTTGAATATGAAATGTTTCACCAACTAAAAGTTTAAGAACTACAATTTTTAGTTTTGGTGCATAGAAAGACTTGTTATATTTTCATTTTCATTTTTGTTGGCAGTATTAACGAGCTGAATATGACATTTATTACGGTTTCGTATATTTATCTGCTACAGGTATTCTCACCACCTTCAGTTGGAACGCGTCGAGCCACTTAGCACTCGTAAGTGGGTGTCAAGTTTGTCGCTTTGCCTGAACGCGTTTGGCATCAATATATCAGCACCAGCAGGTGGATGTCGATGTCCCCACCACTCGGCTGTCAATCATGCATGCGAATGGGAACGCCTGGCTGGAGCTCTATGTCCTCCGCCTGAGGCATTGCAATTAAGCGCAAATGTCAACTAATTAACCTCAGGGGCGATTGCGAGTGCGATTGCGATTGCCAGCAACCCATAACCCTTCAATCAGCCAGAGGGCCTGTCAATAAAATTCTTTTCAGCTGCTTTGTTTTTACAGCCAGCCGGAATCTTCCTTTCAAATAAATAATTAAACGTTTCGCATAACAGATGAAGCTCGCTTTTAGGCTTAAAGGCAATACGGATCTCGTCTGGCGGCTGCATCGTCTTTTTATTCGCTTTTCTGGAGTACCAGGACCTGTTTTTTGTCTAGCGCTGCACTTTTTCAATGCTCCACCCTCACCGAGTTTTGTGTATATCTGTCTAGCTAAGCTCGCCTGCATTTCCGAGTTGTTGCAATGTATTGGCCGTGTTAGCGTCTGTTTGTTTTGCAGTTTTGGGTACCGTACCCGGTGCCTTGCAAGCCTGTTGTTCAATTTACGTAAAACGCGGCCAGAACAGAACAGCAAACCAACGTCAACTGCAGTCGGTGGCATCAAGTGTTGGCTGGGATTGGCGGCTCCGCATAGAAATGGGCGGTGGTGCGTGGAGGGGGTGGCCGCCGTACTCTGGTGGCACTAATTGAAAAGCAGCAGCCACTAACAGCAGTCGTCGCTAAAGGGCTGCCGAGGGATTGGGTTTAGAGAGCGAGGCTACAGTAAAAATGTAATAACTTTGATTACTCCGGAAGTGAAACCGTAGTTCGTATTTGTCATCAGGAAAAATGAGATGGATATTGCAATTTTTAGGACAGAAAAAGCCGAGTTATTGAAATAAATTTTAAATGTCAAAACAGGTGTCTAAAAGTGCGCAGCTATATTTTTTTTAACCCAAAAGTTATATATGAAGTCAATCAAAGAGGCGACTATCCTCCTATTCACTGCATACTGTTAGACATATATTTTCACATCTAAATTTTTATAAATAACTATTCGGTGATGTTTCACTGTACGAAGAAAGCCAATGCGCACAACACTCTATACTCCTTGCTTTTTTTCTGGCAATTTCCTTTGCATACTTTTGTGCTGCATTTGATTACAAAATGGCGGCGCTGTCCTGGCTCCTGGCTGCTCACTGCTCCTGCAGGACCTGCTGAGGGTGCAACAGGAGCTGTTGCTGTTGCAGTCGTAATGCAGCCTAAACATTGCGTTTAGTTTTCGTTTTGGTGCAGCTACAACTGCTGCAATCGCCTGGACTTTGACTATTCATTAGCCTGTGTGCTTGTGCGGGTGTGTAACTGTGTGGCAGGATGAGGGCCAAAAAACTCTAACAAGCTCAAAAAGCAATTTGCGAGGGGCCGGCTAAAAAATTGGTAAAAATATCGACGTGCCGGCTCATGCAATTGACGTTTTGCGGGTGTGTGGGAGAGGGATTTTCGCGGACTAGGGATTGGGGCCTGTTACATAAAACCACGCGTTGCACAAAAGCCGCCAAATCGTCGTCGCTCAAAAGCCCCAGCGATGAAAATACAAAATGGCCGACCTATATGCAAGTCCAAGCTGTTCCTCTAAACTATTTCGACCCTTCAAATTCATGGAGAGTAAAGATCTCTGTTCTCTTTATTTCGATTCTAAACCAATCGTTAGAATTCAAAGAGAATATGCTTTTCGGAACCGCTTTGCAATTATTTTGCTAACCCTCAAAAGTAAATTCGGTTTGTGGTCAGAAATTAGTACGTATAGCAGTTTTTTTCAGCACGTAGCTCCTGTACACACGACTGGGCCAATTAAATCCATTTACATCACAAAAATCGAATATGTGAAACCAGTTTATCTCTAGAAAAACTAAAAAATGTATTAACTTACCAAGCACACCTTTCTGGTTATTTGCTGAGTACTAACTGGATGGAGATATTAAAATGGCATAAGCAATTACAATAAAATAAGTTAAAATAAAGTAAGTTAATATTTTCATGAAAAGAATTCAAATCTACGAAAAATTTACATATATAGGAGGCATTTTAAATATAATCTGAAATACTCGCACATTTTTCGGCTTTGATAAAATTTAAAATAATAGTAAAATAACTTTTTCAGCCCCCAGTCCTAAGCCAGTATGTCTTTTGGTCGAGCTCTCGGGGGTTTTGTACTTACGGGTGTTCCCCGGAGCAGGAGCTTACATCAGAGGAGAACGCGAAGACCATTTCCTGTGGTCCCCGATGCGAGGATGAAAACTCCAGCTCAGTCTTCCCGACCGCCGCGTATCCTGGTCAAGAGCTTTCTGGCCCTACACCAACTGGACTCGGCTTACATGCAGGATGCTCCACGTGACCTTAGAGACTTTTTTATGTCAAATTGGAAAAATGTAAAGAGCTGATACCCAATTCCCGGCATATGTCTTGACTGAAATATAAATTATCTTGATAACCGCAAAAGTAAATTAATTATGAATACAAATATTATAAAATGAAACTATATAACAACATTGTATTTTCTTGCAAGGATATAAAAACTGAAAAATTGAACAGAACGTGACTTATATGTGAACCCTTTGCTTAAAGCGTTAGATAACTGATATATGTTGTCTTTTGCTGGCCAAACTGATTTAACGAGTAGTAGGCTTACTGAATACAGTCCCTCAACGAAAACATTATGAAAGGCTTGTTTTACTTACGTTGGCTAACCTAAATTTTAAAAGTACTCTTTGATCACCGGTAACGCAACCACCTATCGCATAATGTTCCCATGTCGGGCCCTGATCGGATTCCCGATTTTCAAGGCTGATACGCGGTTACAACATCAGCGGAGAATGTCGGAGCAACGGCTCCCCTACCATCGCAGACCAGTGCCCGTGAAGCTTCAGGAGCGAAAGGACTCTTGGACCGATCTGAAGAGACCGCCCTTTCTGCTGGTCAAGAGCTTCCTGAACTTGCGCCACATGGACGCCGACTACGGGAAGGATATCGCGCGAGTTACGGAGGAGCTAAGTTTCCAGCCACACCGCACTCTCTTTATCAATATTCTACAGCTGCCGCATCGTCGCTATTCAGAAACGGAAAGCTTTGCGGAGATGATGGTTAAAAATCCGCTAGCCTCACACTCCGTTCCGAAGCCGTGAGTGTGGTAATCGAGTTCAATGGAGAAGAATGTATTTTTTAGTTTTTTATAATAAATGTTTCTTTTAAATTGTATCATTTTGTGCGTTATGATACTATATTCATGTATCTCTGGGGCTGCACTCTTTTCTTACGGGGATTTTAATAAATTCCCGTTTACTTTTATTATCTCAAAAGACTGGAATTATCCAAGAAGGAATTACTTTTTTTATATAAGTAGAGTTGGCTATTTGGTACTCACTAGCTCTTTACAAAATAAGAATCCTAAAATCTATATTACATAATGATCAGAATGATCATCGTTTCATATCAAGTTTTCGGTGTGTCATTTAATGACCGTAAAAGGGGTTTGAAACCAAGTAACTAAGAGCTCAAGATCGTTAAAAAGTAACAGATTTATTATATTGTGTAGTGGATAATATTGAAATTTGAACGGACGAGTGAGTGAGTTCAATCCGTATTTCAGGCCGAAAGAGTCTGGATACTGTATAGTGTGTGGATCGGGTTAGTACATGACTGGGCTCTTGGATGCTTGATTATTAGATTGATAGGATGGGTTATATCTTAGCCAGACAAGTCCGGATGGTTTGCATGGTTGAAGCGTACAGGAGCCCAATTTAAAAGAGCTTTCGACGTTTGTTGCCCTTAATAGAGAGCCTAATGAAGAACGGTCTAGATGTCATAGGTTCCATAAACCATTCGTCGCCGGAAGTCCGCCCAGCGGTAACGCGGATTGCGGAAGCGGGTCGTCTGCACCTCGCCGCGGTCCTGTGCCTGTTCCTGGTACTTCTGGAAGTTCTTCACATAGCACCGGGGAGCATGGTGGTACTCCGGATTGGGTTCGTCGCGCTGACGGCCCAGGTATTCATCGTTCTTATTGAGATCTCGATCTCGATCGCCCACGCCTTGGTTGCGGCGTGTCGAAAAGGCCAGTCTACCAGTCATACGGCACCCGGCTTGGCGGACCGCCAGTCGGACATAAGTGGATAGGGCCGAGAGGTTCTGATTTGTCGGTAGCATTTTAAAAGATCTTGAAAGTCGTTCGGAATTGATGATAATTTGGTGGTCCGGATACCTCCGATTTTGGTGTGCCAACGGTGGAATGGTTGTTCTTCGGCAATGGCTTAAAAGTTGGGCCGAAAGGAAGGAATATAAATTTATTGCCTTTCTATTTTATTTGATTACCTGTTAGTGGAGGAAATGTGGAAAAAGTGAACCGAGTGTATATGAATTTAGTAGGAGGAGTTACTAGGTTAAAAAAGTTTTTTCATATCCTATGCATTTTCGAATGGTCTGTTATTTTGGTCCAGCCATAAAGTACTCTTTGAAACATCATAAATATCCTTTAAGCACTATTAAAAGTTTGTAAATTTTAATTATTTTGTTGGTCAAGATACCAATAGATTTTTAATGTGTTTTGAGTTAATTGAAGAATTAATATGATAATGTAAGATTTTTGTATGCATTTTGTTCTTAAATCATTCTCCTTTAAGCATTTGTTGTGTTGCATGCACTCGAGACTGAAACACAAAACATAATTAAACAATTAAAAAGCCTTTTGGCACTCGTCCTTACTTAGCCCAATTCGCAGTGCGGCACATCAAAGCCGTAAAAAGAGTTGTGCGCCTAATTACGCCGCCAAGTGCAGTGGATGGAAGAGTAAAATGCAAATTTGCAACAAGGCAATAAAAAATACATCAAAATTAACTGGAAACAATGAGAGCGGGTGGCAAAATCACAGCATTTGCGGGGCCAGTTTATTGTGCGACGTGGAGGGGAGTAGCAGGATTCAAATAGAGAAACACAGAAGAAAATAAATATTTCTTATAACAAATTGTGAATTAAAATTTTAAATTTAATTCAATAAGATAGTGTGTTCTTCATAAGAAATAAAATACTTCAAGTGGACTTCTTTTAAAAATTTCCTTAAAAAGAATATCCTTTTTTTAGTTAATTTTCTCAGAGTGTCGGCTAGTAGGACAGTGCTTTGAATGAAAAGTGGCTGGACCCTCGGCAGTCTAGTCCCGGACTGTAATCCTTGGTGCTCTGCATTTTTTTCCCCCCGTCGCCCATTGATTTTTTCTATATTATAAAATTTATGCTGCCCGCTCTGCTTTGTTGCACTCTTGTCTCTGCCATCGCCACCCAGTGCACTTCATTTTCTGCCTTTGCTTTTTATAGTCATTTTTTATTTTCACATTTTTCCCAAGCGCTTTTGAGCTTTTGTTGTCGAGTGCGCGCCAGTGCCACCCGAGCCAAAAGAAAAGGGCTTGACAATAAAAATTATGAAGCATATTACTTGAGTGCACTTGGGTTCCTCTTTCCATTCTTTGGCTTTTGCCACTTTTTCACCCAGTCCTTGTTTGTATTTTCTCGGATCAGAAGGATGCGAAGGTATGCCAAAGTATGTCGCTAGTTTTTTGAGAGCAAACTTGCGTGTTAAGTAGCAAAAAGGGTTAAGAATACTTGGGATAATAATAAAACGGACTGGGCGAAGGGAAATGGTGAAACAAGAGCTATCTTCCAAAATATCTCAGACTGGCTAACAAGTTTTAAATAATTTCTTTTATTTTTATTATTTTATAGTTTTTCAATTATACAATACTGTTAAAATAATAAAAAAAGTTTATTATATATTAATTTGGTCATTCCATACTTTGTAATTTTATTGTGATCCAAATTTTGTATTTAGTTTAACCGTGCATTTTGTAGTCTGTTGTCTAAAAAATATTTTGTTATGATGTCGTTTTTTAACAAGATCAAAACAAAATATTTTTTAGATTACAAAGTTTAGTATATACTAATTTTGAATGTTAGTCCTTGCTAGTAACTGCCGTAGATCATCTTTCGGCGGAACTCGGACCATTGGTAGGTCCGGGAAAAGCAGCTGTGCTGCCTCCTGCAAAACTGGCGGAAGTACTCCTTGCACCTTCGATTCCTCTCCAAAGGAGATATTCCGCAATCCTGGTTGTTATGTAATTTGAGATCCAGTTTCTTCGGCAAGTCACTTCTGCGGAAGTAAACGAGGGGAATGGTGCGACGCAGCTCCGGATGGACAAAGACGCCGGGTTCCTGGTAGATTTTTGGTCGCGTCATAAATCCGCGGGCAAGGCACCGGCCCTCACCTCGGAGGTTCCTAAAAATTTTGATCATTGTCTAAAAGGGTGATATATTTTGATATTTTCTAAGACCGATTCTGCATCCCAAAAGTATGTGTGGGATGTGTGAAGAAAAGGTTACTGAATTCTAAAAGAACTTCAAAATGGAACTTGGTTGGTACGTTTAAATAAAAAATTTATGGGTCTAATAAACATGTATTAAAAATTATTTAAAATCATTTTGAAAAGCTTGTTCGTTTAGAACTTTAGCCGTCCCTACAGAATACCAAATATTAATCTTTTTAAATAAATTTATAAACCACAAATATAAATAAATAAATCCATTCTTTGTAATTTTGAAAACTTAATTTATTTGTTAATTTTTTTGAAATAAGCGAGCCCCAACATATGTACAACGGAAAACGTGAATTTTGGCTTTCCGCAAAGAGAGACATCAATGGCCCAGGGTGGATTTTCCTACGACAAGATCGATCAAGGATGCCTAATAGCTGGTGCGGCCGTAGATCATGCTGTGCCGGAACTCCGCCCAGCGAGTGCGATGGCTGCGATAGGAGTTGTACGGCGAGATGACCTTCCGCGAGATGGACTCGCTGAGCGGGCGCTCTTGCATTTTGGAGGAGGCGAGGGTGACCTTTTGGAGAAGCTCCTGCTCGGCCCGGGCTCGGTCGCGCTCCTCCTCCTCGTTGTCCTCCGGCTGACCAAAGACGGTCTCGCGAACGGACCGGACCTCGAGATCTGACTCGTAGTCGTGCTCCTCGGCTTCCCTGGCTTCCGGTTCGCGATCGAGTCGCTCCTCCACCGCCTGCTGATTCTGCTGCGCCTTGTAGGCTACCGTGTCGTCATAGTGGGTAAACTGAGCGGACTTGGCGTTCCGGCGCTTGGCTGCATTCTGGGAGACCACCACATTGTTGCGGCGCGGCACCATATCATCCGGCTTGATCACGGGCCGAAACATGGCCGAGTCCAGGCCGGAGTAGTTGTTGCTCCACTGGCGGTTCTGCTGCCGCTGCCGCAGGAGCTGGGCGGCCGCAAAGCTCTCCTCCCTCACAGGCCAATCCTTGCTCCAGGGTCCCAAGCCCTGGACCGCGCCACCTTGGCCCTTCTCCAGCCCCGAAATGCTGGTCAGTGAGCGCCGGCCTTCGATCAGACTGCGCTTGGCCAGGCTGCGAATCGAGGGCAGGTTCCTTGCGAAAATTGGCATCTCTCTTGTCTGTCTGGTTCCCCTAAATGTTCTAGATTAAACGACTAATTTTTCGTATACGGGCTGGATTCCCTTGGCCAAAATTGAATCCACTAAAAATTTTCAATTGATAAAAGCAAGGCGCTCGGGCGAAACAAATTTAGGTTGTCTTTAGGGGAAAACAAGTTCGAAAATGAAAAACCCACAACTTGTGTGTTGAAGTATTCGTAAAAACACTGACACTAATACTAATGTTGACTATGCCAGGCAAATTTAATTTTCAGTTTCATCCCGAATAGATAGACCAGCAAATAAAAAATATGTCTGTGCGTGTGGGCTGCGAAAACAAATAACATAATTTATTTACGGCCACAAGGAATTCAATTTGATTGCGACTTGAGTCTTTCGGGCAAATTAAACAACAAAGCCAAAATGAAAATCATAGAGCAAAAACACAATTTGCCATCGTCGCATGAACATTTATTAATTTTGCATCACCTGCAGTGGTGCGAGGTCCTTTGGTGGCCCGATAAGTCCTGGGTCGAATTTAACGCAATTTCCAAATGGAAACAACAACAACTGCGAGACATGAAATTGAGTTAGTACACAATTACAACAACAATTATGAGTGAAGCCGTCAGCTAGCTTTCTTTGCGTTCGGACGTGCTTATAATTCTCGCTATGTTGCTTCACCGCTGTCCCGAGTGCAATACCGATGTTACACCGGCCCAGCTTCGCGCCTCGGATGCTATCCGCTGTTCTTCTTTGTGCCGGCGCGCTTATCATACTTCTTGCGTTGACCTACCGGACGATGTGATAAAAATTCTATTAAATCCAAACATACTGTGGCAATGTGACAGCTGTGTGGTTGCGAATGATTCGCATTCTAAAATTGATGAACTTGATGCTAAATTGCAAGCCCTGGAATGCTTATATCAGGGCCTTAATAAAAAAAATTTTTGGAGGCATTCCCACCTAAAAATAATGCATTGAATCAAAATCAAAACATAAATCTTAAGCCTCGTCAACCGAGGCCTGCCAATGTAACTGCAGCTCCCCAGTCATATGCGGCTGCTGCTGCTACGTCTTCCGCGGTCGTTGACCCGTCTAATCATGCTCTGGATATCGGGAGAGGAAATTTCATACAAGTCCGAAATAAGAAGAGAAGGAACAACAACAAGCCCAAGCATATTGTTGGAGTGGCCCCTAATGCCGAAGATCTTCACGTATTGCCAAGTAATAAATTCTTGCATGTCGGAAAGTTTGCAACAGCTACCGATCCTGCTGCTGTTTTAAAATATGTGTCCACCAAGCTTAATGTGGACGCTAATTCTTTCACTTGTGTAAAACTTGTAAAAAAAGATGTTGACGTTGCAACTTTAAAGTTTGTAAATTTCAAGCTTGGTATCCCTGATCACCTTTATGATTCAGTCTTCAAGAATGATTTTTGGCCAAACTCAGTTAAGGTCAAAAGATTTATTCATAGAGAACGGGCCGTTATGGACGTGGATAATATCGTATCCAATTTGCCGGAGCCTGCACAAACTTCAACGACAATTCATCCATCAAAAAACCCCTAGTAATCGGCGCCACTGGCGTCGATACCTTTGCGGGACATTTTTTGCAAGCATTGGTCACTGCTCTCTCATCATCTTCCGCCTCTCTCCCGTCGCATCGTCAACATCAGCCGGAGCTGTTGTTGTCCGCTTTCTGCGACATTCGCCGTCCGCCAAGCTCTAACATCGGCGCGCTCCTCGGAGTTGCGCTCTCATCATCTTCCGCCTCTTTCCCGTCGCATCGTCAACAACATCAGCTGGAGCTGTTGCTGTCCGCTTTGTGCGACTTTCGCCATCCGCCAAGCTCTAACATCGGCGCGCTCCTCGGAGTTGCGCTCTCATCATCTTCCGCCTCTCTCCCGTCGCATCGTCAACAACATCAGCCGGAGCTGTTGTTGTCCGCTTTGTGCGACATTCTCCGTCCGCCAAGCTCTAATATCGGCGCGCTCCTTGGAGTTGCGCTCTCATTATATTCCGCCTCTCTCCCGTCGCATCGTCAACAACATCAGCCGGAGCTGTTGTTGTCCGCTTTCTGCGACATTCGCCGTCCGCCAAGCTCTAACGTCGGCGCGCTCCTCGGAGTTGCGCTCTCATCATCTTACGCCTCTCTCTCATCATTTTTTTCCGGTGCTCTCTGGAGTTGCTCTCCCCATCAACAACTACAATGGGCTGTGGCAGCTGGAGGGGGCTCTCGCGCACTATTAACAGGAGCGGATTCACCTGCGTGCAGTCATATTCAGAATGCTAATAATGACCGCCCACGAAATATTGGGAGTGATGATCACCAGCCTATTCGTATCCGCACAACTACTTTACTGAAGGTTCTTATTAATAATTCTAATACTTATGATAAGATCCCAGCAAGGCCTCTTATGGATTCGGGCCATGACGCTGGACCAAGTATTGATAGCATGACCAGGGATGACCGTACATGCACAAATAATATAACTTTCAATATTTATTTTCAAAATGTCGGTGGTATGCGTACAAAAGCTCCATCGCTTTTCTTGGCAACGTCTCAATGTGATCATGACGTCATCATTTTTGTTGAAACCTGGCTCAACATGGATTTCTTTGATAATGAATTCTTCGATACGAATCTTTACCATGTATTCCGTAAGGATCGTGATGCCGTTAAAACAAGATGCTCCAGAGGTGGCGGCGTTTTAATTGCTGTGCGGCGTGGACTTCGTTGCACTGCTATTCGTCTCCAGAATGAGGATTCTCTGCTCGATCAAATCTGTGTATCTCTCTCTGGTCCTACAGAAACAATTTTCCTGACAGTCTCATATATACCCCCTAGCAGCAGTTTTGATCTTTATAAAGCGCACGTTGATAACATTGCCCACCTACACCAGGAGCTGGAGGAGGGCCAGTACATATGTGTTTTGGGCGACTTCAACCTATCTTCGCTCGTGTGGGCTCATGATTCAGAGTCCTCAGCAATGGTTCCCAGTAACTTGCATCTTCCCTACGAAATCTTAGTCATTGATGAGCTTCTTAGTATGGCATTAGTCCAGATTAACCATGTATTTAATAATTTAAATAAGCTTCTAGACTTAATTTTTGTACATCCTGATTTAAGCATTTATTTATGTTGCAGCGATAATCCACTTGCCGCGTGTGATGCTCATCACAAGCCTTTGTTAATCTCTATTACTTGTTATATTTTTCGCCCAATTAATTCTCGCTTGCCTTTTACTTATATTAATTCTAGCAGTTTAGATTCTATCCGTAACGATATTTCTAATATTAGATGGGCGGAGGTCCTCTCGCATGCAGATGTGAATACAAGCTATGAAGTTTTTTTTATCTTTTCTCTCTACTATTGTGGGCAGATATACTAAAACTAGGGTTCAAAGTTGTTACAGACTGCCATGGTACACGCAAGGACTAAAGAAATATAAAAACCTTAGAAATAAATTCTATAAGCGCTACTTAGAAAGCGGTGATGCTGGTGACTTTGACCGTTACAAACAGCATAAGCGTGAGTTTGAGTTCCTCAATAAATTCTTATACAACCAATATATTGCTGATATAGAGCGTAAATTAACTACCAATCCTAAATCATTCTGGCACTTTATCAATTCTAAACGAACATCTTCTTACTTTCCTTCCCATATGTCATTTGAAGATCATTCAGCCTCCTCGGATATTGGGGTCGCTAATCTATTTGCTAAGTTCTTTGCATCTAACTTTGAGCCGGGCTCGCTGTGGAATGACGAAGATTCGCTCAATGCCATTCCTACTATGTTAAATATTGGTTGCTTAGATGTCACCGATTCTGACTGCCATCTGGCGGCTGAATGCTTTAATGAGTCAGCAAAATTAGATTGTGATGGCCTTTCTCCATTTATTTTGAAAAATTGTATAGGTGTTCTTTGTGAGCCCCTTAAAATCATCTTTAATTTATCTCTTTCCACTGGTGTTTTTACGCATAGATGGAAACTGGCCACTGTTACTCCTATATTCAAGTCGGGTGCAAAAAACATTGTTTCAAATTATAGGCCAATTGCAAAGCTCAGCAATGTCTCAAAAATGTTCGAACGAATTGTAGCCAAGCAGCTAACTTTTCTTGTTGGTCGGATCATCAGTCCTAACCAACATGGTTTTATGCCTCGACGGTCTACTACCACAAACTTAGCTACGTTCAATCATTTTTGCACCCACTCGTTTCTCAGTCATCATCAAGTTGATGTGGTCTACACCGATTTCGCTAAAGCATTTGATAAAGTCTCCCATAATGCTTTATTAGCTAAACTGCAGAAAATGGGATTTCACTCACTATTACTTAGCTGGTTTAAATCTTATTTAGATGATCGGATTTACAGAGTTGAATGCAATGCTGTTTACTCTAACTCATATGTTGCAACTTCTGGCCTTCCTCAGGGAAGTGCTTTGGGTCCGTTGCTGTTCATCGTCTTCATAAATGATATTAGCTATTGCATAAAGAACTCGGAATTTCTGTTGTTCGCTGACGATCTTAAAATATTTAGAGCTGTGAATTGTATCTCCGATAGTGACCTTCTTCAAAATGACCTAGAAAGGGTGGGAAATTGGTGTTCTCGTAATAATTTGCCTCTCAATTTATCAAAATGTTTCTTCGTTAGGTACAGTAAACGAATAATTAATATCCTTTTCTCGTATTCCATTGACTCCCATATTCTGTCCCTGAGAAATGAATCCCTGGACCTAGGAGTCATGTTTGACAGTAAATTTATGTTCATTGAACATATTAACTATATTATTCCCAAGGCCTACGCTATGTATGGGTTTGTAAAAAGAAATGCCGCGCAATTTAAAGATCCCTACACGAAGCTAAGCTTATATTCAGCCTTCATTAGGTCAAAACTGGAATATGCCTCGTTCATCTGGAACCCGACGGGTACTATTCACATAAACCGGCTTGAGCGTGTACAGAAACAGTTTCTACGTTTTGCCCTTCTAGCTTTAAATTTCAATGACCCGGTCCCGTCTTATTCTGCCAAATGTCGGCTTGTTCACCTTTCTTCCCTAGAAGATCGGAGAACTACCAGTTCATTAGTTTTCATATGTGATTTGCTGACCTCTGAAATCGACTGCCCTGCACTGCTGGGCAGCATAGGGTTATCGGTGCCTGGTAGATCGTTAAGAACGTTTGAACCATTTTTTGTACCGGCTTACAGAGCCAATTATGCCCACAATGAGCCGTTGTGTAGAGCCCTGCATTTTTATAATAAGTTGCCATCTCACATGCGGTTGGATCCATGCTCCCCCAGAGATTTAATCAAGAAAAACTTGTATAATTATTTTGCCTCACTTAGTATTTAATTTAGTATTAGTTAGTAGCCAGTTAAGGTTTTTTACTGTTGGCGAATAAAGAAATAAATAAATAAATAAATAAATTTTACAATAAATACCAAACTATACAAGAAAAAGGATCCTATCTTAAAAGCGAAAATTGTACACTTCCTTTGAAGTGAAACATTTTTGTACCTCTTGGAAATTTGTTGGTTCTAGGAAATGCTTTTTATAATATCGTACTAAACTCCCATTACGTAAATATTTTTTCTTTATTTAAAAACGGGGTCGTTCTCGTTCTTTTAAGGTTAAAGATATCATAATCGGATACGATAATTTATTAGTTTAAAACCAATTGGGAAGACTACGGAATTATAGAGATACCCACATACAGTCAGTGTATTTGATAAAACTTTATTGCGTACAAAGAACTATGCCTGGCGGTCTTTGATGGCCAGCGGGGTATGATTGGTTAGTGCGGGGCTGTTCGAGCTTGCTCGTTGTTTAAATGTAGGCAGAAACATGTCACTGCTTTTTAATTTAAATGCAAATTAAGGCCTTTGTCAACACTTTGCCAAACTCAAGACAACGACGACAAATGCCTGAGGCAAGTGCAAGGAGGTCGGCTAAGGAATGACTGAGTAGAAATATATATCTTTAAAGTATGCGTATACACGGGAAAAAAATTGAAGCAATATTTTGAGCAGGCATCTTGTGCTTAGAAGTTTAATATAGCTATTAAAAAATTTAAAGGTAAAATATAAACAAATTAAAATTAATATATCACACTTATATTTAAATAGAACATATGAAAAATACAACAAATTCATAATACATTATTGTGGCCGTTGTTCTCTCAGTGTGTGAATTTGTTCATCACCTGATGGATGATATCCTTAACGCACACACACAGCCCCGCCCACGTAGCGCCACATCCAGTTGAGGTGCGATGTGACCCGAGTGTTGACCCCAATGCCAAAGGGCTGACCGCAGGCCCGTCCAAAGCTGATCACGCCCAGCTGGAACATCCGCTCACGCTGACGCAGGATCACCGGGCCACCAGAGTCGTACTGACACGAATCCTGGCCCCTGCCGACAGAGTCGTAGGTGCACAGCTGGCTGGAAGCGATGCTGGAGTTAAACCGACTTCGGCACACGGCATTGTCCATGGTCAGCAGGGTGGCCTTCTGCAGGGTGTTCGACTTGGAGGCAGCAAAGCCCAGGGTTCCCCAACCCGTGATGTCTACATTTTGGTAGTTAAAGTTGCTCTCCCTGCGGGAAAATTAAAGTTAATAATTATATCACTTATATTATGGGACATTTACGCTTGTCGAATGGGAAGACAAATGGGCGCCACTCCTCTGGACCATTCCATAGGCGTCACCGTCTGGAGCAGTGCTATGTCATTGATATTGCCAGATGCTGTTTCCATGTATCCAGGGTGATTGAAGATATTTTGAATGCGATGTTGAGCCGCGTAAATCGATTCGCTATCTAAAAAATAGATAAATGTACGTACAATAATACACGATTTAAAATTGTAAATAACTTTAGCAACATGATCTGCGTTGAAGAATATTTTTCACATGTAAATTACTTATTTACTTTGTATTATGATCAGATAAACACTAACAACAAAATGTACAATTATTTAAAAAAACAATAAGGAGCGACGCAAACCATTTCAAAGTAAATATGTGTAAGTATTCATTTTACAAACCATTTTTAAAATTTCTTTCCAATTGGAAAATAAATATACTTTAGTGCGACAAATAAATAAAATAATTATTTTTAAAAATTTAAATTTACTTCCGCCTTTCGATGGAAAATTCAAAAATAAATGTATTACTATTAAATAAACTAACTAAATACCTGGGGTGATCAGAACTCTCTGTAAGTAAAATGACAGATTTTTAGCTTCAATTATAAATATTTTCAAACAAATTAATATATTTATGAAAATTATAAATTTAACCTTCCATTTTCATTGAAGAATTTAATATTTTTTTTTTGCCTTTTTTCACACTTCCCTTTTTTTAATAAAATCATAAAAATCCCTGAATTTATAGTCAAAGACTCCGTAAGGGTATATCACTTACCTGTGCTTAAGTCATGCTCCCCAACCAGTGCTAATAGGCGGCTGGCCACCGGTTGGCGGGCGGTACAGTGTGCAGCGGTCATAATGAACCGATCGCTGACAATACTCCCGCCGCAGAAGATGGGCAGGTTGGAGGCCAAGTCCCGGATGCCCACCATCGAAGGAAACTCGTGTTTTCCCGCCTCCACTCCATTAGCAATGCGATTCGGATAGGACCAGCCGCAGTCGCAGGGTGCCGGACGAGCCACCGCTTGGCAGCTAAGTCGGGAACGCTGCTGGGTCTGCGGACTGCTTGAATAGTAGGCGAAAGCCATTATCTGGAAGTTGGATATCCGATTGACCTGGCCCATGCGGCAGTAGCGTTCGGCATCCCGAAACTGAAGGTCACCATCACGCGAGATGAACAGGAACTCCGAGCCACAGGTGTCCGGAAACTAGTCAGGGTAAGGATCGGTATTTTATAGTTACAGAGAAAAAAAATATACTTTTAATACATTATTTGCAAACATTTTATATTCCAATTATGTTAATAAATGTCTTTGATTTATTATCAGCAATACTTGATAAATTCAATCATTTAAGTATAATTACTTACCAACTCAAAGCGACAATTTAAATAGATCACATGATTGCGGGGGGCTTTCATGCGAAATCGACAGTTAGTACCACTTGGTATAGCTCCGGGATAATTGAAACTGGTAATATTTATCATTCGATTTGGCTGCAAGTCATAGAACCTGGTGCACTGTTGTTGGGCACAAGCCACACTGATTAATATAAGCACTAGTACAACCGAAAACTTTAGCTCGCACATGATAAACACGTAGCTACTCCTGCTGTGAACCCCAAGAAGACTCGGTGCAGCTTATATAAGACCACTCCAGTCGTTAAGGGAAAATATTTGTGGTATATTAAATACCTATTTGTATATTTGCGAAAGTCAAACTGCGTTTTTAAGTCAAGGTGAGGAAATATTGCTATTGACTTGATTTTGAAATGCACTCAACAAAATTATTTCAAGGAGTAATTTTAGTAATTATATTTGTAGGTTTAAGAAAATAGGTAAAACCATTACATTTAGCTGGGCCACAAATATTAATCATTTTAATTTTTAAATTTTTTTTTTATTTTTAGATTTTTTTTTTTAGATGTATTTTTTTTTTATATATATATTTATTTTTAGTAAAGCCTTTAGTAAAATAATCTTGGTTGAACTATTTTTGTAATGTCTAATTGAAATCCAACTTTATTTTATAGCCCAAAATCAAAAACTAAGTAAATAATTAAAAAAAAAAAGTTGTTATGGAAAAATAGATTAAACCGTTATAACCAGCAATAAAAAGTTTTCATTCATGCCATTTATTTCCATTACAAGCTAACCACACAGTTAGAATTTCCAATCTGTTGGCGTATCCAACCTATGTACGACGTTATCCTGGTATTTACACCCATCGGATACTGCGATTCCGCACAACTCTTTCCGTAACTGATTATTCCGACCAAAAATTGTCTGGATTTCCGAAGGATAACTGGACCACCTGAATCGAACTGACAGGAGTCGCGGCCTGTGCCCGAATAATCATATGTGCACATTTGTCCAGTGTATATCGTGGCAACACTATTGTATTCCGTCTGGCAATCCTGATTGCTGACCACGTTGAGATTGATCTTCTGCAGACTTGAAGATCTGGGTCCGGCAAAGTAGATAGATCCATAGCCGATCACATCGACGGTATCATAGGTAAATAGTGAATTTCTAAGCGATAAATTAATTGTATAAATTAAAGGCGACCTTAATAGTAGAATAAACACTCACGTGCCGTCAGGAGGCAGACAGATGGGACCTACTCCACGGGACCATTGAATATTGCTGGCGGTTATCAAAACAGCAATATCATTATTCACACTGGGATCACTTACATATCGGCTGTGGGGTATCATTTGTTGTATACTGTATTGTTGATAGTATCTGGAAGCTTAATATGGATTTAAAATTAATTTATAAATAAGGTTTTAAACTAAAAATAAAGAACACATTTATTCCTGGCAACTTACGTTTATCCAAGCTATTAGTTCCTACAATAGCTACAATATCTATAGCCCTATTGACCATGTAAATACAGTGGGCAGCAGTTAGTATATAACGATGGGCCACTGAAAAAATATTTTTGGTTAGTCTATAGATGTGAATAAATTCCAATAAAATTTTAAGCTGAAATTATTCTTCTAGAAATTATTTATATTTAATATTAACCCACCTATGGTTCCTCCGCAAAAGGATGCTTGATTCTTGGTCACGTCCTTGAGGGCCGCAAAACTGGGAAATTCGTTGGCCGCCGCCGCCTGGCCATTGGCAATTCGCGAAGTGGCCGACCAGCCGCAGTTGCAGTTCTGTTTGGTGGTGGTCAGGGTGCACTTAAAGTTTCCCCCTTTGGTCCCTGTGGAAATGTAGGCGAAAACCACTTCCGTGAAGAGCGACTCCCGCGTAAAAGATCCAGAGCCACAGAAGTTTTCAGCACCACGCATCAGGAGATCGCCCTCTGGGTCCAGCCAAAAGTTATCCGTGGTACACTGACCATTATTCTGGGGGAAGACAAAATTCCCTTTAGTTTTTGCCATTATTAAAACCATATATCTTGGCTGTTTCCCACCGATGGCAGTCCAATAGAACATTGCACTTGAATGTTGTAGTCCAAGGGGGCGGTGAACTTGTAGCGACAGGAAGTTCCGCCAGGATAATTCTGGGGATAGTAGGGCGACTCAACGTAGGTGGTTCCCGGACTCAGGTTGTAGGTGTTATCACAGCCCTCGAAGTAGGCCATCACAGCAGGTGCCAGTAGCACCAGCGAGATTAGACAGCGGCTAAACATTTTGGCCATACCTTTCGACTACGAAGCCAGCAGTCAACTGGGCTAACTCGATAATGCCACCCACACCTAATATCACGCAAGACAACTAAAGCTAAAGCTAAAGCTAGAGCTAATTAAATAAATAAAAGGCCGCGTTCCAGCAGATGATAAAACAGTTGAAACTTGCCATAAAGTATACGCCCTGTTTGAAAACGATTTCGCCCCGCAGTCTGCAGTTGTGCAAATAAATAAATGTAACACTCGCATGACCTTGTCAACTGCATAGCATATCGGCTTTGAACTTGGCTAACAGTGCCTTCGCATTTTCCGTTAGGGTTATAAGGCCCAATCCATTGGCTGGGTCATATGAGGGAAACTCTTGTTGTTTCGTTATGTTTTTCAGCTAGGGTTATCCACCAGCTGTGCGCCTGGTGATAAGCTAAAGCTAAAGTCGTAGGTAAATAAACATTTTCTGAATAATGAGGTCTAATTAAGTGGCAAATAACAGCGAAAGTACAGAAAGCGTCAACGCTCGAAGATCTGTTCAAACAGATTAAAAGTGAATTTACTTCTTCCCGGTGCTCGATAAGATAAAGCAGAAACAGGAACATTTTTTATCAATTAGGCCTAGTTTTTATATAATTTAACAATTTTAAATATTCATTTAAGGTGATATAATTTAATAAGATTAAGTTCCTATAACTAATTCAAGCAAAAGAACCATTTTCTTAAAAATTTCCTACAGATATTAATTGGATTTCACATAGCAAACTTGTAGAATTGTAAAAATGTAACACAATTGATGGTGATTTTCTTACGCAAACACTTTGTTTAATTTGCGGATTTGTATACGGATATAAAACAAATAACTGGCAGGCGAGTAAACGCTTATGTAGCAACCAGAGCAGCGTAAAAACATTTGTTGATATTTAATTATGTTTACGCTTATATCAATTTGCATAGCTGTAGTATGTTTGCCCTAAAAGTAGCAGACGGAAACCTTCGATAATGAAAAAATGTAAAATACTCAATGGAAAAGCAGTCAGCAGAAATTAAATTTGCGCTAAAAATCAATTAGGGAAATCGGCAAAAAGAACCGTAATGGCTGACAAGGTGGAGCTAAATGTCGATGAAAATCAAGCAATCTGTCTATCAAAAATTGACTTTATGCAAAAATAGCCACCGAAAACATATACATAAAAAAGCGCCTAAGAGCATGCAGCAGTTTTGTCACAGGACGCTCTGAGCTGTGTAATTATAATATGGAAACAAAATGTTCCTTTTTTTATCCGCAACGATTTTGGTGCTGCCCCCACCTCGAACCACTCTAATTTCCCTGCCCTGGTACATAGCGATCCAATGTCTATATTTTCTAGTGTCACACATTTTTTGCCCGTATTTTTTGTGTGCGTTTTTTGTTGTGGAACAGTTTTTTGCCGTGCATTTGCATTTTCCACTAATTTGACTTTTGTATTGTTGCGGTCGCTCGGCTCTGCTGCCCCTCATCACCACATCCACCCACCCACCAGTCAGTTTATGTGTTAGAGTTTTTTCTGCTCGTTTTGGCTTTCCACCAATCGCATTCCCTCTTCCACATCTCTGTCTATGTGTGCGGGTCTGCGCGTGGGTATTGGTGGGTGGGCTGCGCTACGCACTTTTTGACTTTTCGTTGGGGAAAATGCGTTTTCATGCATTGGTTGGCTGTCGAGTAGGATCCACCCGGGGATGGGTTCGCTTTGGGTTGGGTATTTGGCCAAATCTCCCAATCTATGTCTCTCTTTCCGTTAGTTGCAGTGCATTTTCCCAGAGCTTGTCATTTGATGTGGCTGTGACTCTGTGGCCATATCATTAATTGCCGTTAGCTGGTAACAGGAACTGGGCATGAAAAGGCTCCGAACACACACAAATTAGTGGGCTACATGAATTGCATAAGGGGAAAAACGAAAAAAGTTTAAACTAGAACAGGGAAACATGTAAATGGTAAATATTGGCCGTTGGAAACGGTATTGAATTGGTAATTAGTAGTCTCGGTTCCATATGTAATTGAAAAGCAGAGATGAATGATTAGCAACATGAAATAAAAAAACTTCTTCTCGTTTTATCGTCCTAATGGAAAACTTAGAGAAGATTTTAAAAACCCAATTTTAGCTTATGGGACCATTATAGATATTTTGTTTATGCTATTTTTAAATGTAGTAGGGAAACTATTATTTGTTGAGTGGAGTTTAGTCGTAGAGTTAAATATATTCCACATCAATGTTTCAAATTGAATAACTGATTAATAAGTTAAGGGCACTTGATTTAGCCACCGACTATATCGTTATATTTTTTTAAGTATATAAACCCTACACATAATTAAAATTAAAACAGAAAAAATGTTCTTAAAATTACAATGATAAGTAATAAGTCTTTAAATATACATGTACAAAGCTCAGGATAAAACAGAAATCGTCAGCCTTGCAATCGGTGAACAGTAATTGGTATTTCCTGGGCCATAATCCGGTAGAATCGGTGCATCCATCAAAGGCACCCTCAGTCCTCGTTTATTGCATGCATCCTCTGCCCTCTGTAACACTCTCTAAAATTCACTTACAACGCATATAGACAGAACGGAAAACACATTCAATTTGCTGCACCTTCAATCACAATAAATCCATACAAATTTCCGTTTTTTTCAGGGCGCAATGCTTTTCAAATGCAAACTAAGCAAATTTTAATTAATGAAAAATTGCAATTAAAAACTGGCCATGGCTTTCTTGCCACCGCCAACTATCTCCCTCTGGCGTGTACAGTTTTCCATTTCCACGTCAGATAAAAAATGGCCAAAGGAAAAGAGCAAGCAGTCCGCAGGCAAACAAAAACACAAAACTGGTGTGCCCAGTAAATGCATAAAAAAACAAAACGCACCCAAAGTACATATGGGGTGTACATAGGGGGACTTTCGGGCCTTTTATTTTGTTTTTTTTTTCGGTGTGGTGGGTGGGGTTTTTGGGTGGTATGCATCTAAGCAAAGCTCTGTCGCTGCCAGCGTCGCCGATTAACATAAACACGCAAAAAACATTAACAGAGCCTCGGTTTTTTGCTGCATTTTCCAGCCTCAGCCTCGGCTTCAGCCAACGGCAACGCAGTTAGAAAAGCCAAGAAAGAAAAAGAAAAAACGGGGAGGGGGAAAAACTAAGGCAGAGTGTAAAAAAAGATATTTCATACATAGATAACGCGGCGTATGTGTAATGTGCGAATGAGACGCAAGCTGGCGAACGGCGCTGGCTGCCTCTCATTCTGGCATTCGCTCATTACACTCATTTCGCATAGTTTGGGGCTGGCGCATAGGCAATTTTCCGTTTTCCGCACACACACACACCACCGCAGCACCCAAACCCAATCACAAAAACGCGTTAATAAGAGGAAAACGTGGCGCAAAAAACTACACACAGACACAGAGATGCGGATACATAGAGGGAAAGAGCGTTTTCCCCCAGCAGTTGGCTCGGCCAATCGCAGAATTTGTTTACGAATCGGGGGGCAAAAGCAACAGAAAGAAAACACTTGGGGAAACACTTGGGGAGTGCTCACCGAGCTCTCCCATTTTCCGCTCTCTCACTCTCTCTCCCTCGCTGGCTCTTCCTCTCGCGGCGGCACAGTTTTTATTTTTCTTTCGAAAGCCACGTGTCGAGAATGGCGCTCTCTTAAGCGCCGCACTCTCTTCGCTTCGTTCAGTTTTTCACGAGGCGTTGGGAGGGTGGTGGAAAGCCCACGGGGTGTCGGGGAAAAGCGGGCGGCACATACTCGCTTTGGTTGGCTGGCAAACGGGTTTCTGTCGATTGACGTTTTAGTTAATATGGTCAACAAATTTTAATTGAATGGTCCATGTTTGTAAATGTTTGATGAATGAATGCAAGGGGAAGCGAGAAATGGGAACGACTCAACTGAATTTTATTAGATTTGCCAAAACGTTGGGAATATAACATTTTACTTACCAACTAAATGCATGTAGAATTAAATTTCATTTTTTGATTTATGGGCGGCAATATGCAAACGTTTTATTAAATAATAAAAAAATGTATATCTTTTTTCAAAAAATAGCTTTTAGACAAAATATTAAACGGTGTTAGTCCTGACATTAAAAAGTGTATAATTTGTATTAAAAATTATCAGTTTCGATTTTTGTAACTGTTTTTGGTAACTGAAATATTCTATATTATATTTGATGCCTTATAATAAGAATAAGAATTTTAGATCGTGTCATTTGCGGCCTTAAGAACAATCCTCTGATAAGACGGGTTTTCGCTTTAACTTACTTTATCACTGATATAATATCACAATATATAATATCATTTGATGCTTTAGATTTCATTTTTTAAAAACATTTAAAGTTGGTTGCAGTAAATCGACAGTTCTGCTTACAATAACCACCCTTAAAAGGCGTGGCATTTTTCAGCTACTTTTGCTACTATGTTTGGTTCAGTAAATTTGCAAAGAAAAACCCGCCAGCACACGACCGTATTATGGGAAAAGCTAATATATTACGGGCTCCAATTATTGGGAACTATATTTAAAAATTATATCTTAGTTTTAAAAATAGTAACATTTTGTAAGGAAAGTTGTAAAACTTGGCCCATAGCAAAGATTAGTTAAATGGAAGTGCTATAATTACACGAAATTACTAGGAGCTCCTCCTGCTATTACTTAAACACTTTACGACATTCATTAACCCAGAAAAATGGGAAAGTAAAACAACCCGTTATATCCCCAAAGAATTTTTCTATTAGCCAACAATCGATTACCAAGCTTATGACCTGCGTGCCGGGCTATAAGCAGATATTACTCAACCAAGGGTTAGGGGTATTTTTGGGATTGCGAGACAAGGCGAATGGAAGAACCGAGCAAACAGTTAAATGAAACGGTAAACATAACGCATTAAATGTTAATGTCGCCTAATTGTGTAATTTGTGGTGTCGCATTTTGGCTGTCATTTACATGGGACATAACAATGGAACTGTCCCACTCCAACCCACGCCATATAATAGCCCTGGAAAAGCCCCTAATGAAGCCGCCAAGGTGAGCGCTAATGAAGT